AATTTAAAAAAAAAAAAAAGATTTGGTTTAAAAAAAAAAGGAGAAATTGTAATATTGCACTCCCAAGCTTCCAATTATACTATAAAGCTATAAGAATTAAAACAGCATTGTACTGAAACAAAAATAGACACACCAAAAAAATGGAGTAGATTTGAGACCCCAGAAATAAAATCACACATATAGGCAACTAATCTAAGACAAAGGGGGAAAGAATACAAGGAAAATCTCTTCAATAAATGGTGCTGGGAATATTGGACTTCAACATGCAAAAGAGTACTATCCACTATCTCACATGATACAGGAAAATCACTCAAAATGGATAAAACACTTGAATATAAGACCTGAAACCATAAAATACATATAAGAAAAGATATTCAAAACTCTGCATGACATACATTTCAGAAACACCTTTAAAGACTCATCTCACCTTTAAAGACTCATCTCTAGCAGCAAGGAAAACAAAGGAAAAACAAAGAGGTGGGCCTCCATCAAACTTTAAAATTTCTGAATAGTGAAATAGGTAGTAGTCAAATTTAAGAGGCATCCTACCGAATGAAGAAAATATTTGCTTGCTATACATCTGACAAGGGACTGATATCAAAGGTCTACAAGGAATACACAACCCAACAAAATCAAAGCAAACAACCCATGATAAAATGGATAGGAAAGCTAAATAAGCACTTCTCCAAAGAAGATGTACAAATGGCCAGCAGGCATATGAAAAAATGTTCATCATCACTTACCATCAGAACAATGTAAATCAAAACCATAATGAGATACCACCTCACACATAGGAGAATGGCCCCTATCCAAAAAAAAAGAAAGAAAAAAAAAAGCAGAAATAATTGCTAGCAAAGAGGCAGAGAAAATAGAACCCTCTTACATTGCTTGGGGGCATGTAGACTGGTCTAGCCACTAAGAAAGCTGTGTGGAGGTTCCTTAAAACACAAAAATAGATGTGCCATATGACCCACCATCCATTCCTAGGAATCTACTCCCAAAACACAAAAACATTAATTCAAAAGAAATCTGCACTACTATGTTTATTGCAGCACTATTTACTATAACCAAGAGATGGAAACAACCTAAATGACCCCAGATTAATGGATCAAGAAGATGTAGTATATATAGACAAAGGAATAAAAAAAAAGATAATCTCACATTATTTTTGCCTATATGGATGGAGCTGGAAGGGATTAAGCTAAGCAAAGTAAATTAGGAGAAACATAAATAATGAGTTTCACTTATATGTGGAATATTGAGAAACAAAAAAAAGCGTGAAAGGCAAACCTTAAAGGCTGACCATAGATCTAAACTATCCAAAAGGAAGAGGTTAATGGTGAATGGGAGAGGTTAAAACCTCTCCAATGAGTGGACAGATTGAAGAATACAATGGACTATGCTGAGGGGCTATGTTTGCATTAGTGATGAGAGAAGTATGATGACCACACCTGAGTGGCAAAATCATATACTACCAAAAATTAACAAGGATATAAGAAAAAGGTAATTCATTTAAAAATAAACAAAAAAAAAAAGAGGACAGCATTCTTTCATAGCACATCAAACTCCAGAAGAGTATTTCAAATGTGAAATGTTAAGCGTTCATTGTCAAATAAAATTTGTACACCTCAATTAGATTATATTTTCCTTTATAAGCCCATTAATTTTATTCCTCTTTTATTGTATTTTTTCCTTTTCAGATAACATTACAAAATTGTCTCAATGAAAGAGATTATTAAGATATTCTTTCAGAAATGGAACACAAGAAAATGACAGAAATATATCAAGTGTTACTAGTTTAGACAAATGATATTAATTTCCAACAAACACTTTTGGGAACCTGAAAACTATTCTTTCATTTTGTACTTTTCCTAACAATTTGGTAAGATAAACATAGAAATGCACATACGCTATCTATAAATCTCAGGAAAACTTGTTGGCTGAGACACAGGCTATCCAGCTAATGCACATAATATGCTATCCACAAATGTATTACATTAATTCCAAAAAGTTAGTTCTCTTATCCTAGGCAGTTGCTTGCTAAAATAAGTATGATTTTCTTTTCTCTATCCCAAAATGTTTACATTGATACCATCATAATGTTAAATATGTATTTATTGAAAATGTAAGTCAACTTAGTTGAGTATCTGCAGTTCACATTCCAAGATCTTGTGACTATGAAACCATCAGGTACTGACAAGATTAGATAACAATGTAGTAGAAGGTGTATTTGGAGGTATATGCTCTCAAATGATGAAAAGATATTGCTGAAGTAGCTGCTTTGGTTTACTGTTGTTTTATCAATGGACATAGTTTTCAGTTTCTAAGTTATCTTTCCCCCTTTCTACGTTTTCTAAATGTCTCCCCATGTATTGCTCAAAATCAGTCTTTGAGAGAAATACCAGGTGTGAGGGAAGTGCCATGCTGGGAGCCTAAGAGTATAATCAAGGTTTCCTATTGTTTCTACCTATGGTTTCTTGGTGTAGTAACAGAACCAGCACAGTTGTTCTAGGACCACTACTCTGGAGACTTGGGACTCCAGTGATCCCCCTAGTTTTAATGAGTTAAGCTACTTTACTTATAACTCTACACACAGGATGCATGTGTACTTGCAGGTACATCCTGTTTTTTTTTTGTTTTTTTTTTTTCATTTTTTTTAGTTAAGTGAAGGCTTTTAATCTATTCTGGACCTACCATGAATTACATAGCAGTTAATAACAATTATATGATTTTTTTTGTACTCAGTAAAATTATTTCAAACCTACTTGTAACAATCAGAATTCTTATTTTCTTCACAGCAGTTTTATACAATAAATTCTCCACATTTTTGAAAGAACAAATATATAGATAAAGCTAGGTCCTTTAAAACTTTTGGGTATTTCACTTTCAAGAGAATAATTTTATTAGTTTTAAACACACTCAAAGCTTTCAGCAACTCAGTAACAATTTCTAAATTTATAAGTCTTCTTTTTTTTTGCTAAGGTTTTTTTTTTAAACATCTTTAACCAAATCCTATTCAGAAATATAGCCCATTTGAGCTGAGCTTTTAAACTGTCTTTATCATGACTTGTATTTTATAACAAATCTTTTATATGTTCTTTAGGAAGGAATGGCCTTACAAATTATTCTGATTTTTTTTCTTTACATGTGTAATTTAAGAGTGAAACAAGTAATCAAGAAGTTTATGTAATAAGATAATCTAATGGGACAAGAAGGCAAATGATATTTATTTTTCAAAAAACCCTTCTACATGCAATATTACCCATTGACCACCACTTTTAGCAAAATTATTTTTGTAAGTTTATAATGAATTTAACCAGTTGATCTAACTTATTGGTGGAAAACTGCCTCTAACAATTACTGAAATTACAGATTTTAAAATGAAACATTCCATTATCTATTTCTGTCACAATAGCAGCATAATATTACACTTCAGTCTTTTACTCTTTCCCACCCCCCGAAGAAACAGGGGATGCTATTATGTGGTCTTATTTCACATCCTGACCTCAGTCACTTGGATTTGGAAGACATGGTTTCTGCTAAGGTTAAAAGACAGTATCTCTGTATATTATTTACAAGTTAGGTCTTCAAATTATCTGTAAATTTGAAGTATCAAAGGATCCTTTGGAATAAAAGTACTTCTATTCTTCAAGTTTATAGAAGTGATTAACTGATTTTGAAAGTCATGACTACTAAAATTTTAACTAGATATAAATTTTTTGTCAAATTTCAAAAGCTGCCTTCCCATTTAAAAAAAAAAAACAGCTTAAAAGAATGACCTCATCATTTCTTTAGCTACTCAAAGTAACTAATGTATGATAAATCCACTAATGCTTTCTTAGTTGCTCTCTGTACAAATGTAACTGCCTTGTTACACTAGGACAGGAAAGGGTGTTTTCTGACTTATTCTGGTTGTTCATGGCCCAATCCAAACCATATTACACTCTGCTCCAACCAAGAGTTTCAGTATAAACAAAAGAAAGAAATATAACTATTTAACGTACTAGGTTCTACATTTATGGAGCCCATAAGCTGATTTCATGCTGAAAGTAAAACAGTCTCAAAAGCTTAAATGAATTCTTTAATGCTGGAATCATAGCAAATTCAGGAAAATTAGGAATATGTTGGTAACCTCTAATCTTTTTTTAAACTGACCTCACCCTGGGCAAGGAACCATCTCCTGATGCCATTGTTGGAGACAAGAACTGGCTGAAAGATCATTTTTCCTGACTCAATCTGACTTGCTGTTCTTGGTTAATCATCCCCATTTCTCTCACCAGTTCACTCCTCTGACTATAGAGGTCAACCTTTATTTACAGAAAAGACTTTAAGTGATTGGGTTCCTCCTCTTTATCCTCTCTAAATATTCCCAACCCCCATTCCTATCGCCCTCATTTCACTAAGATTTTGCTAAACATTAGACACAGCACATGACCTCCAGTCTTCAGTGTCTGAAATGAAAACGTTCGATTTGTGCGATTGAAAGCTTCTCTAGACCTGGAATTTGAGCGTACTTTGCTCTTGAACTCTTGAAGACCCACAGCGCAAATTTTAAATTAAAAAAAATTTTAAATACAAACCGCCCCCCTTTTTTTAACCCTTTAGCCCCGCCCACCACCTCCCCCCTCCAGCTTCCTAGCGAAACTCCGCAGGAAACCGGAGGGGGCGGGGCGTGACGTCACGACGCCGGTGCGTCACGGAACGGCGGCGACTGCGGCGCTGGCTGTGGCTGCGGCAGCGGCGGCATTTTAGTCGGCAGCGGCGGCGGCAGCGGGGCTGCTGCTCCTCCCAGCATCCCTGGCGCGGCCATTTCAGCCCCATCTTGGCCGACGGGAGATCGCTGCAGCCGCCGCTTCAGCAGTTTGAATTTCAGTTTCTCCGGGGTCTGCGAGCCGGGTGCACGGAGAGGAACCGAAGAAGCTACCGCCACTACCTCACACACCGGAGCGCCTCCGCTCGCCAGCCCTCCCGCCCGGCCGCCCGCCAGCCATCCGCCGCCCCTCACGTTAGAGCCGCGAGAGGAGGCCAAGACAGCCACCGCCGCCCGCCAGCGGGGTGGCTCCCCCTGCTAGGGGAGGACCGAGCCGGCTTTCCCCTCCCCCGGAGCGGTTTCCGCCTGAGACAGCCGACATGTCCCTGGGGCTGAGCTCCGGCTAGGACCGGGAGGAAGGGCCGCCCGCCCGCGTCGGAGCTCCGCCGCCCGCCCGCGGCCCTTCCGCCAGCCCGGCTTCGCGGCTCGCAGCTGAATCCCCAATCTCCGGCCCCGGAATCGCCACTCCTTCCCTGAGCGTCGGAGAGCTCGCAGCTGACGCCGGCACCGGCCTGAGGAGCCCGAGCGGGGCAGCACCGCCCCTCACGCCGCCGCCGCCTCTTCACCCTCCCACTCCCACCCCCAGTCAAGGCCTGCTGGCCGCGCCGAGCTGGACTGACCACGGAGACCCCGTCACGGGAGGTGGAAGCAGCCGGCCCGCCCCTGGGATTGCGCTCTCCCCGCCGCCGAGGGGATTGAATTGAGGCGCCGCGACTGCTGAGGCGAAAAGGAAGGAGGAGCTGACGCGGGAGTGAACCGGGGGCAGGCAGAGCGATAGAGACCGGCCCTGAGAGGAAACTGGAAGGAGGATGTCTCACCGAGCGGCCGGCGCCGGTATCAGCCCGTGACTCGTACCGCGGCGGGCCCAGACCCCTGCGCGCGCTCGGACTTTATCATTGGGGGCCCGTGCTCAGCCCTTCCTAATTTCCGGCGAGATCGCGGAGGAGCCGGCGTGCCTCTCTGCCCTCCAGCCTGCCTCACCATGTCCAAGATGCCGGCCAAGAAGAAAAGCTGCTTCCAGATCACCAGTGTCACCACGGCCCAGGTGGCCACTAGCATCACCGAGGACACCGAGAGCCTGGACGACCCGGACGAGTCACGTACAGAAGACGTCTCCTCCGAGATATTCGACGTTTCTCGCGCCACGGATTATGGCCCGGAGGTCTGCGAGCGCAGTTCCTCCGAAGAGACGCTCAACAATGTTGGGGATGCGGAGACTCCCGGGACTGTCTCCCCAAACCTCCTCCTCGACGGGCAGCTGGCGGCCGTCGCGGCTGCTCCCGCCAACGGAGGAGGAGCCGTTTCAGTCCGGAACGTGGCCGGGGCGCTGGCCAATACCCTGGCGGCAGCCGCCAGCGCAGCCCCCTCCACGGGGACACCCGGCGGCCTACCAGCTGTGGGCTCGTCTGCAGGACCAGGAACTGCGACCCCCTCGCAGCCTCCCGCCACTTGTAGTTCGCGGTTCCGAGTGATCAAGCTGGACCACGGGAGCGGGGAGCCCTATAGACGGGGCCGATGGACGTGTATGGAATACTACGAGCGCGATTCTGACAGCAGTGTCCTCACCCGGTCTGGGGACTGCATTCGGCACAGCAGTACTTTTGACCAGACTGCAGACCGCGATAGCGGCCTGGGCGCCACTGGAGGGTCGGTGGTGGTGGTGGTGGCCTCCATGCAGGGGGCGCACGGGCCCGACTCGGGAACTGACAGCTCCTTGACTGCTGTGTCACAGCAACCCCCATTGGAGAAAATGAGCCAGCCTGTTCCGGCCCCGCCGCTGGGTTTTGGCGTTGGGCAGCCACCACCGCCGCCGCCCGTAGGTGGGGCTGTGGCTCAAAGCTCTGCTCCGCTGCCGCTGTTCCCGGGATCCGCGGCCGGGTCGCAGCAGATGATGGCAGCCCAGCAGCTCACCCAGCCCCAGGGAACTGGGCCCGGAGTCAGCGCTGCGGCATCTAAGGGACCGGGTCTACCGCTGACGAATGTAACCCTGGCGCAGCCGGCCCTGACCCTGCCTCCGCAGCCAGTCCCAGCGGTCGGCACTTCGGCGTCCCAGCCTGCACAGCAGTTCGCCTATCCCCAGCCTCAGATACCGCCCGGCCATTTGCTGCCGGTGCAGCCCTCTGGTCAGAGTGAGTACCTGCAGCAGCACGTGGCCGGTCTGCAGCCACCGACCCCTGTGCAGCCGGTATCCACCGGCGCTGGAGCGAGTCCCGCCACCGCAGCTAGCCTTTCTTTGGGCCCAGGCCCGAATGCCGCTGCAGTGGGCGCGCAAATACTGGGTGCCTCTCCCCTGCCCAACGACGCGGTGGCTCCGGGGCCGGGACCCGCTCCGGCCGGATCGGCGGCGCCTTGCCAGCCCGCTGGAATGCCCCCGACTGCTGTGGGAGGGGCGGTGCAACAGGGCCTGGTGTCTACCACCGGGGCCGGACTACCCCATTCCGTGCCTCCACCGCAGATGGGTGGCAGCGGGCCGTCGTCAGCGGTGCCTGGTAGTTCTCACGCCGTGGTGCCCGGAGTTCCAAACGTGCCTGCAGCAGTGCCCGCTCCGAGCGTGCCTAGCGTGTCTACCACTTGTGTTACTATGCCAAATGTCCCCGCGCCTCTGGTCCAGTCGCAGCAGCTGAGCAGCCATACTCCAGTCAGCAGGAGCAGCAGCGTAATCCAGCATGTGGGGTTGTCCTTGGCGCAAGGCACACCCAGTGCACCGACGAGTCTACCACAGTCAGACCTAAGCCAGTTTCAGACCCAGACCCAGCCTTTAGTGGGGCAAGTCGACGATACTAGAAGAAAATCAGAACCCCTACCTCAACCACCACTTTCTCTCATTGCTGAAAATAAGCCTGTTATGAAACCTGTGGCAGATGCCCTGGCAAACCCCCTTCAGTTAACACCTATGAACAGTCTTACCACCTCTGTATTCAGCATAGCTATTCCTGTTGATGGTGATGAAGACAGGTATGGAAATCTTATTTAAAATATTTGACGGGAATGCTTGGCCAAACATTGTACTTTCAGTATGCAACTTTGGGAAAGGTTATTACTTTTATTATTTCCATGTGAAGCCCTTTGCGCACTAAATTTGATTTATCAAGTCTTGAGAAGACATTAGTTTTACATTGTTGATGTAGAGGTGTGAAATGGGAGAATTTGTTCTTGTCACAATAGTTACTAAAGTGGACAGAGATGCAGCATTGTTTATTTGAACAGTTGGATGTTAGCTTACTCTTCGAAGTAAAGGTCATAGCCACTAGTTACACCCCATAGACACTTGGTCACTTATGGTAGAAACTTGTGAATTTTGAGACTGAGATAAAATTAGGAGTTTCCCAATTTGGGGAAGCCAGAAGACCCTCTAGTAGTGGAAGGTGTGGGTAAGGCTTGTCCTTCAGTGTATCTGGAAAAACTAAAGAGATACGGTGAAAAAGGTGAGATTTGGCTTTGAAGATCTATCTTCATTCAGCCTTTTATAGAAGAGGATAGAAGGTCAGGAGACTTCCAGAATTGACTTGTTTTTTTTTTTAAAGCAAGTGTATTAGAAAGATGGTCTTATCTTCCATCAGTCTTTACTACTGAAAAGGGAAGTATGAGAGACTTCAATCGAAAAAATCTAGTTCTTAAAATAATAGTAATAAAATGTTAGCTGTAGGCTTCCTTTACCAAAGGATGCTTTTTTAATGATTCAAGTGAAAATTGATGTATTTCCACACTGTTGCCACACCAATGTTTCAACAGTTGATGTTTGGCTATGGTTTAATGAGAATTTTAAGTGGTTTTCAGGAAATATCACTTGAAATTTGATATAATGCAAATTTCTGAAATCTGGCTTGGTGCAAAGCTTAAGTACAGAGAAAGTTAAAGTACCTTATAAGTAGACATTTACTGAGGGTTTTGTTTGAGAGATTAGTTTTAGATTTTTTTTTTAAAAAATCAAACCTTTTATGGAATTCCAGAATAATTGTACGTAGAATACAGTGAGATCTGTTAAAGCCTTTTCTTTGTCTTTTTTTTTTTTTGAGTTCCTTCACATTCTTAATTTTCCATTTCTAATTAGCCTTGTATTTTTGTTGTATACTTCTGTTGGTTTGAAAAATGCTCACTGAAATTCACTCATCATCTCTGTTTTTTGTAATTCTAAGTTCATCTTTTTTTGTAGGTGACTTGCTTATGGGGGACTCTTCCACTTGAGAACCTTTAGCAAAATCAGTGAGCTCAGCTAGCAATTTTTGCTGAGAAATGTTATATCCAGGGTACTACCAAGAAAGTATAAAACCCATTTAGAAAACAAACAAAAAAATCCCTCTTGATGCCCATACTTCATTTTTCATATACAAGGGCACACCTGAAATGCACTTTGAGTTCATTTGTTCACCTTTGGTTAATAGGCAACATCTTCCCTTTCTAGCTACCAGAAGCCAATTTTTTCTGATGAGTTGATAAATAACCAACCAGTTACCTCATCACGTCTGTTGTATACTGTCCCGTATTTCTTCAAGAAATGGTCACTGACTTAATCAACCTCTTTGCTGTATCTCCTCCCACACACACATATATGCATACCTGTGAATGAAGAATTTATTTTTCCACCTCTTCACACCTGTTTACAGGTTATGTAAATTGCATTTCCCAGAATGTCAGTGTGATGATATGGCATGAAGTAGAGAGATCTATTAATAGATGGAAACTCTGGGATTTGTATTCTTTGGATGTGACCTCAAAGATGCATTTATTTCTCCTTTTACTATATTAAAAGAGTTGATAAATCTCAGGAGTCACATCTCTGAGGGTGTGAATGTCTGAACTACATATCATTGTTCTTAATCAGTTGCAACAATTAATCCAGTGTAGGGGTTTTGGTGTTTGTGCAGTCCTATTATAAATGTGACACTTCTCTCCCTATCCAGTCTTTTAAAATCTGCTTTGCTCATAAAAAATACACATTTTAAATTTTGTTATAATCTTCCATTAATTTTTGTTTTGACATGCTAATTTCCAAGATGTAATCTTACATACACATTTGACTATTTTATCACTGGACCAATATACCTGGTGAAGGAATAAATTCATTGAGTAGTAGTAGGTTGAGTTATTTTTTTCTAATGGAAAATCTTTGTAAAATTGAAGGCATTTTGAAGTTTTGTGCTTTAAACAACAGTTTTTCCAGGTGTATGTTTAAATTATTGAAATGAATACTTTTGAAGACATATACTAACAGAATCCTTATTTTAATACAGTGATTTTTGAACTGCTTTTTTTAATTAGTCTGCATACAGTTTTATTAGCAGTTATTCATATGTAAGTTGAAACATTGGAGTAAAAAGTCTTGAGTAATTATAATATAAACCTGTGAACAAATTGACAGACCTCAGCTCTCTGAAATATTTGTTAAGTAGGGTTTTAGAAATGTAAAGATGTTAGTCAACAGTCTATGAGACAAAAGGAAGAAAAATGGAAGGTTAGCATTGTCATGTGATTTTTATTTCCATTACCTAATACAAGATTCTCTTGGTTCATTTTGAGACCACTTTAAAGACTGACATTATATTACTACATGTTACTAGTAATACCTATTAATGAGTTTGATAGTTGTGCACACAAAGTATAAGAAATGTCTTCATGTTCTCAGTTAACATTGCCCGCTATTATAATTAGGCTAATCATTACATTATTACCCTAAAGTTTATATATCATTCTATACATTCTTATTAGTCTGACTTTCGATCAAATTGATTTTGTGAACGGTGGAGGATACGATGCTTGAAAATAAAGTTTATAGCAAAATGTGTGGGCACTTTTACAGTGAATTTTAGAAAATTTATTTAAACTATCTACACATTTAACAGACACCTTTTTAGTAAGAAAAGGGAGGTGCAAGATATTACTGGCCCTTTTTGGGAAAGCAGCAGTACAGATAGTTTTCCATAGATAGCTGACCAAGGTGAACTCTGTAGGCCACATTCCAGGAACTCTTATGAATGACTGCGATTGTAAACTGTCAGCTTCAACCAGAAGACTGTTGAAAACCTGATTGTAAGGATCTCTTGAGGACAATATCTTGTTAATGGTTTTGTGTAGTTTACTAATGACTACTCGGAGTATAAAGTATTATAAATTGCAAATGTTAATCGGTGTGTCCTGGTATGTGCTCTAAATGCAGATTTGGTTTGCCCAGTTATATATACACACCCATATACACATTTTTATGCAGTTTTTTTCACTTGGAGTTTAAACATTATATAGCCTATTGATGCATATCGAGAGGCAGAATTGTCCATCATTGGTACAAAATCTGTCATAAATTCTTAGAACCCCAATAGTTTTTATTGCCTTTAGGCTAAAAATAAAAGCCCCTTTCTTGAATTTGTTTTTTAGGAAGTTTTGTTTCTTCTATATTGAATTGTGAAGGTAATTTTATCCTTCTTTATTGTTAATGAATATTTAAGATATTTAAATCACACACTAGATATTATCTTATGCCTATCTAAGTATCTTACCAAGAATTTTGTAATTAAAATGTAAAATCTTATTTAATGTAACATTGCTTTGTATAAAAACTGGTAAATGTTCACATTTATCAAATGGCATAGTGATTACTAAAAATATAGTTTAATCATAAACATGGCTCTAAGGAAATTACTATAGATTTTCAGAAAGGCTAATTATCCAAAAGAATCTGAAATTCCCCAACCAAGAGTTGTATAAGTAGAAGTATGGCTTCTTTCATCTTCAGCAATATATTGTTTAAAATCTACTATGTACAAAATGATACAAGCTGAACATTCACTTTTTGAAAACATTAGGGTGTGTATATGTGTAAGGCACATCCAAAAACTATTTTAGTAACATTTGTTTTATCCTTGTAGAGGAAGGAAAAATTTCTTTAACTGAGTCACCTTTATGAAAAATCATTTGATATAATACTAGTAGTGGCATATATGTATTTACTTGCTGAGAATAAATGTGATAGTGTCATTCTGTGAGGATTCTAATAACACTAATTTGGAAATAGTAAAACAATATACTGGCTTTATGTATCTAGTACTTGCTAATTTAGTTCCTTGCACCCAAACAAATTGATGGTAAAGAAATCAAAATGAATCTTTCTTGAGCTATTGCTGATAGGGGAGTGCAAACGGAACTCTTCTATATAAAAAGTCAAAAGTTTCCAGTTGAGGTAATGTTAGATTTAGGATAGTAGGACCAAGACATAAGAAATTACATGAATGAATTCTAGTGAGGAACAGTGATATAATTCCTTTAAGTAGTTGTTTTAGACCAAAATGTAATTTCTTTTCTAAATAGATGCTGTGTATTTCTTAATTGAATTATTCTTTAGTACTTCAGAATGAGTAAGAAAGGCAGATCTTGGTTATATACATCCTGAATGATGATATTCTCTACGTAGTTTCTTAAGAATGTTTAAAGAGTATGTGTAGCAAAATTCCTGAATGGGAATAAGTCCTTTATGTTTATGATTTGCCTTTCATAATAAAGCAGTGGACCTGTAATTTGAAGCTACTTTTTTAGATGGTGTAATACAGATTACTGCATCCACAAAAGAGTATGCATGCTTGAGTCATTGGTATATTTAGGTCTTCCCCAGCATTCTTGAACATACCAAATTATTTAAAATGTTATATTCTTTAATTTTTTTAATATTTAATATTTGTTATATTCTTAATCGCATTATTGGGGGCAAAATAAGGACACCTGTAAAAATTGAGGAATAGCAACTAGTTGTATCATTGCTCTACACTATCACATGACTTTGCATATTATGTTTTAAAGTATACACTTCAAATTTGTCTAGTAATGTGCAAGGTATATTGATTATCTGCTTTATTTCTTAAAAATATGTGTGTAATTTCTACTTGTAAATCATAAATTTCATCTGTATTACCTTGGATTGCTTCACTTCTCAAATTTAAAACCCCAAATCAAATTTATTTGTGTTATTT